TTTTTTTTTTCAACGTTTATTTATTTTTGGGACAGAGAGAGACAGAGCATGAACGGGGGAGGGGCAGAGAGAGAGGGAGACACAGAATCGGAAACAGGCTCCAGGCTCCGAGCCATCAGCCCAGAGCCTGACGCGGGGCTCGAACTCACGGACCGTGAGATCGTGACCTGGCTGAAGTCGGACGCTTAACCGACTGCGCCACCCAGGCGCCCCCCCAGGAACCTGTTTTTAACCAGATCATCAGGCGATGGGAAGACTTGGTGACACATGGGTCTGGGTTTAAACCTGGATTCTGCCAGCATCTCCTGCGGTGTAACCCTATATGGGGTGCTTCCCTGCCTGGCCTCAGTCTCCCCGTGGATATATGGAAGGGTTTGGATCAGAGCAGACATTTCCCTTCTAGTTCTGTCCTTGGGACCCTACCAGAAGGTGGCCTCATCCCAAGACCCTCAGTGTTTCTAGGAATTCAAGCTATGGGAACCAGGCCCGGTGGGGTTACCATGGATGCTCTGGGCCATTCCTCAACTGAGAGGTGCGGATCCACATTAATGGCCCAGGTGTCCCCGTGTGCCTCCTCTTAGGCGGCGGGTGTCCCCTGGTCCAGTCCCACGGGCAGCCCCTGGCTCCCTTTGTTTCCTTGTCTTCACCAGGTTCTCCTCACTACCCCTCACTAAAAGCAAGCAAGCCCAGCTTTGCAAAAAAAGAAAAAAAAAATCCCAAGTCTTCTGTTCTCTGGGGAAGAGTCCTGGTGGTGAACTGGGTGCATCTGGGGCGCCCTGGGAACCCAGGGCACCGTGGTCCTCATATTCTGCTGTTCAAACGTGGGGTGGAGGGGCTGGCTTGGGAGAGGGGGTGTCCCCTCATTAATGCATTTCGAGAATCCTCAAAGGGTGGTGGGCGAACCCAAGTGGGGGTTTTCACATTGGGTTCTGGGGGTTCCTGGACTCAGGTGATGGGTGGGGGGTGTTCCTGAGTGGTTCAGCTGGTCCCATTAACCCATTTCACAGCTTAAGTGGTTTCTCTTTCGGCCGCTTGATATGTTGGCCTTCTGCAAAGAGTTTCATTTGAGAGAAAGGATTCTGCTGATAGAAAGTTTGAAAAGTCTGCCAACCACCGAGCTAGTGAGCAGTTCTCAGAGGGTGTTCCCCGAATCTGCAGTATCGGCATCCCCTAGGAACTTACTAGCAATGCAGATTAGCAGGCCCCACCCAGACCTACTGAATCTGAAGCTGTGGTCCTGGGGCCCAGCCGTCTTTGTCTCAGAAAGCCACCCAGTGGCTCCTAATGCGCCCCCTAAGGTTGACAGCTATCAGGGTAGACGATTTCGGGCGACTTCAGCACTCGCTCGTGGGAAAGGCCCTGAGGTAAGCTCTTAGGAGTCCTTCCTCAGTGGCTCCTCACCACGAGCTCCCTCCAGGGTGGGTGTCCCGCGATTCTGTGATGGAAGGGGGAGGCCTAGGGTGGGGAGTCCCCGACACCCGAGTGTCTATCTCGGGTCCACCTTGGGTTTGCTGTGTGACTTAGGTAAACCCGTCCCCGGGGCCTCCGTTTCCCCGACTATAAGATGACAGGTTGGACTTCCAGGGTCTTCTGATGGAAACATGCTCCAGAGCCACCCGGATGGCGGATCATGCCAACTGCAGGGCCTGGCCCAGAGCTTCTGAGCCCGCAGGCCTGGGGCGAACTGCCAGCGCGTTAGTGCTGCCCACCAGGGGACCATATTCTGAGACCCACCAGAACCTCTCCCCCGCGTAGGTGAGCTCAACGAGACCGAGTGTGACAAGCAGACCTGTGAGTGTGACAAGAACGTGGTTCTGTGCCTCCGGAACCAGACGTACAATGAGAAACATCGCAACTACCTCAACATCTACTGTCAGGGCCCCACGCCCAACTGCAGCATCTACGAGCCGCCCCTGGAGGAGGCGGCCTACAGGCACATCTCCCCCACTCCCCCTGCACCTCCCTAGTGCCCCCCGGGGCTGACGGGCAAGAGGGATGGAGGTTCTGGCTCTGGGGACCAGACAGGCAGACCAGGTGGAGATGGGGGAAGACTGAGAGCCCAGGGCTTTCTGGCTGCTTCCTCCCTGGAACTCTCCAGGGGACTGGCCCCAGAGGACTCAGGGAGGCCTGGGTCCTGACTGTGGCTCCCAGGCCCCTCCAGCCCAGCACTGGGCGTGACCATGTCCTACCGCTGATCCCAGACTTGGCAGGAAACATGTAGCCTGTTGGGGTCTCTCTTGAGTGTGGAGGGCAAGGCCTGAGGAAAAGAGGTGGCTCCTCTGAGTGGTCTCTGCCACGGGCCCCAGCCTGACTTCCTCGGCTTGACCGTCAAGGTTAGAGACCAAGATCCTGAGCTGCCAGTACAGCCCCAGAGCTTGGTGTGTCCTCAGACAGGTTCCCAGACACAGAGTGCTGGTCCCGAGGTTCTGGGGGCCTCTTGGCTGCCCCTATGGGACAACCCCGGGTGCTCCTTGCTTTGAGGGCCTAGTGGCTCTCTAGAGCCCCCTTAAGGGCAGGGTGGCCCATGAGTCCAGGCCCAGACATCACAGGAGGGCCACAGGGCTAGTGTCTCAGCCACAAGGTCTGGCCTCAGATCAGGCTCAGGGGCGCTGACAGAACCCCCATGCCCAGTGGCACTCCCTTAGGTGCATGGGGACCAAGACGGGGCCACAAATATGTCTCCAGCACCCTCACGTCTCCCCCCACCTCCCTGCTAACCCGGCCCAGCCATACGGCACTGCTCTGAGGTGCACCGGACCCCACCCCCGTGCCTCTCCTCCTGCAGCAGCCGGGCCGGTGGGTGGGAGGACCCCAGACCCCTCTCTCCCTGCCAGGGAGACGCAAGGCTGCACTCTGGTCTCAGAAGCCCTGTCAGTGGGGAGGAGGCCAAGGGCTGGGACCCACCTCCCTGAAGGGGAAACAAAAGCAGGAGGGTCCAGGTCCAGGCAGGAGGCTTGGAGAAGATTCCAGAAGGCAGTGGGGAGGGAACTGCATGAAGACAGAAGGGAGGGGAGACGGTGGGAGAGAAGCCGGACAAGGCGAGATGCCCAGACCAGAGGGGTCTCGGCAGGAGAAGTGGGGTGAAGGAGCCTTGGGGTGCAGGGGTCCCCTCGGGCCCAGGTTCCTGTTGAGGGTTGTGGGCAGAGATGGAAGAGAGTCAGCCCCCGCGGGGCCAGCTTCCTGACTCTGTGCCAGTACTGCTGTCTCTCCAGGTGCACCTGCCCCTTTCCTGCCTTGCCTCGCCTCTCGACCTCAAGGTCAGCGGCCTCCAAGTAGCCAGCGTGCCCTGCCTCACCCCGAGGACACACCGACACAGCGCTGAGACCCGCCCAGACACCCTCAGCCATCAGGAAGCTTGGCCCGCCCTGCGAGGGGCCTGTAGATCCACTGTCACTAAGGCCAGTCATGAAAGGCGGAGACAGCAGAGGAGTGGGGGTGGGGAGAGAACATCTTCCCCCAGAATAGCAGGACTGGGAAGAAGCCTCGCCTTGCTGCAGCTTCTAGAACGCTAGCCCTGGGGACTGAGGATGAATTTGGTGGTTGGAGTCAGCTGTCACTATGTGTGAGAGAAGGCCCTTCCAACCGTTCACCTCCTTCTGGCCCTGGTGTGGTGGCTGTGGTCCCCAGTGTGTCTCATCACTCATATCTTCTTTCTTTTTTTTTAATGCTTTATTTATTTTTGAGAGAGAGACAGAGACAGAGACAGAGAGACAGAGTGTGAACAGGGGAGGGGCAGAGAGAGAGGGAGACACAGAATCCGAAGGAGGCTCCATGCTCCGAGCTGTCAGCCCAGAGTCCGATGAGGGGCTCGAACTCACGAGTCGTGAGATCATGACCTGAGCTGAAGTTGGCCGTTTAACCGACTGAGCCACCCAGGCTCCCGCTAACATCTTCTACCCTGGCTAACTAACTAACCTCTTCTGGCCATCTTGGGCTGGTCCCTTATCTTTGAGCTGAAGCCCCCCTAAGCCAGGGTGGAGCCAGGATGGGGCAGCCACAGTCCACTAGAAGATGGGGTCTGCAGAGGCCCCAGCCCCGCACCTGTGGGAGAACAGGTTTCTGCCTGCGCCCCTCTACCTTGCACACACCTCCACTCCAGAGAGTCTGGGCCAGTGTGTTGGGATGAGATTCTGCGGCCGAGGAGTCTCGCCTCCCCCTGCCCCCCTCACCTTGCCCCAGCCTGTCCAAGATGCTGTGACCCCAGAGGTCCTCCACAGGACTTGGCACCCCATCGTCAATCTCATAAAGGCCTCCTGCCTCAGCTCCCTCTTGTTGGTCCTCCTTGGCCGGGCATCAGGGGAGGGCACAGAGACTCCCTCCAGGGTCTCCAGCTCAGGGGGAAGCAGAATCCCTTCCTGCCCCCACCCTGGGCAAAGTGGCCCTGCTCCAGCAGAGAGACAAGCATCAGGAAAGTGGTGTGGGCCAGTGGATGGACAATGATAACTGTTAGGCTGGGTGGGTGCTTGTCAGGCATCAATCTCCACCCCATCCTTTTCTGTTGAACATCCGAGGCCCGGAGAGGAACAGGAACTTGCCCAGAGTGACACAGGTTGTAAGTGATGGGGCTGTGTCTGAATCCTCAGCATCTAACTTGTAACTATCCCTCCTTGCATCTTCTTTTTTTAAAAAAAATTTTAAATGTTTTTATTTATTTTTAAGACAGAGAGAGACAGAGCATGAGCAGGGGAGGGGCAGAGAGAGAGGGAGACACAGAATCCGAAACAGGCTCCAGGCTCTGAACGGTCAGCCCAGAGCCCGACGTGGGGCTCAAACTCACGAACCATGAGATCATGACCTGAGCCGAAGCCAGACACTCAACCGACTGAGCCACCCAGGCGCCCCATCTCCTTGCACCTTCTTAACGATGATGCGGGCGCAGCTGGAGACAGTGGGACCAGTGACCGAGAATCCAGCAGGACACCAGGTCCTGGTCTTAGCACGTTCTCTGACTTATGTCCCTTCTTTGTTGTGGGCATCAGTTTCCCCATGTGTAGAGGGACCAGAATAGCTGTTTCAGGTGCTCCCCAAAGCCATGTGCTTTCCTGGACACATCTGGGATGATCCCTGGGACTCTGCTCCCCCTCCCCACCTCAATCTTCAATTAAACAGCTCTGCTTTTCCTGTATTATTTACTGAGCTTTCACCTGAGCTACTGTAAGAAGAAAAGACATTCTTCAGTAATTTTTTTAAAAAGCTTGAAAACTCTGGGACAAGATCATCCATTGGTTCATTCATTCAATGGACCTATACTGATGGTCTTCTATGGACCAGGCATGGTGTAGGAGGTTTGGTGGGGATACCTTTAATCAGACACAGACTCTACCTGCAGGAATACCTTAGGCTGGTAGGGGGAGGCAGACATGTGATAACCTTGACATATGGTGCCAAGCAGTGTCATGGGGAGCACGGAGGATGAAGCCCCAAGTGTGTCCTTGGTAGTCCCGAAGGGGCCCCCAAGGGGATAAGGTGTGGGGCTGGGATGGCCTGTTCAAGGTCCTTGGAGGTGGGGAAGAGGGGCGGGTCACATGTTTTGAGGAGGGGGCCCTTGCTTCTGTAATCTGGGTGGCTCTTTGCTTCTTCAGGACTCCTTCTAAGTTAGTGAGATCTTTTAGGCTAAGCCTTGAGGAAGGATTGTACTTGGCTTCCACTGGTCTGGAGCTGCCATTGACAAAGACTCTGTCCTTGACCAAACTTTAGTTAGGATCCTCTGAGACCTTTCCCAACCAGGCTTACACCTTAGGGTTTCCGCATCCATCTGAGCACTGCCCAGTTTTAGCAAGAATCCCCTCCTGCCCTCAATATCTGGTCAAGTTTGTCACCCTCCACCATTTCCCAGGTGGTTCCTGATCACCCAGGTCTGCCTTTAGCAAGAATCTTGTTAGGGTCATTTTAGCAAGAATCATCCAACCCTCTTAGCAATCTTCCATCCACCAGCTCCCCTCCCCACTCCTTGGCTATAAACCCCCACCTAAGAAAAGTGAGGATTCATAACTGTATTCAGAATTGAGCCCAGTTCTATCCTGGCCCCTGCTGTGATCATTCTTGAATAAAACCTGTTTTTACCACTTAAACTGCTGCCTGGGTCTTGTTTTCTAATAGCCACGGTGCTATGACTTGCACGAGATCAGATTCATCATTAGACCCTGGTCGTTTCACCCCGGGACCCCAGGTGGACGTCTGGGAGCCTTTGTCTTCAGTCCTGAGTAATTGACCGGGGATCTCTTGTGAGCCCAACTCCTGAGTCAGTGCTCCAGGTAAATGTCCACTGAAGTACAGCAAAGACAAGGCTTTGGTTCTTAAGGTTCTGAGTTTGCTCTGTGAAGCTGGATGAGAGTACTTTGTTTGACAGATACCTACTGGGCTCAAAGTCTTTCTTCCTGGCTTTCTTTTGAGTGGGGATTCCCTCCCTGACTCCCGAGACTGGAATATCTTTCCTGGCTCTTTGGGAAGCCTCTCTATTCTATTTGATCCTGCCTCTTCCAAGGAAACTTCTCAGTTGCCTGAAGCCCCTCATTCCAAACCTCTGCCGAATTTGTAACTTCACTGCTCCAAGACCTCGCTTCTCCCATCTCCCCTCCTACAGCCTTTGATTTTCCCTTCAGGTAGGTCCGTTGAATCTGCTGATGGGACCCCTTCAAACTTCTGCCTCTTCCCTCCCTCTGTCTCCTTTTGCCAGAATTTTCCCCTATTCCACTCCTTTGGGCATTTGAATATTCAGCTCCCTTCCCCCATCATGGGTTCTCAAGGGACTCTCAAGCAACTACTTGAAACTAAGAAGGAAAATGCTCTTTGGAAATAGTTGGGATATTTTATCCACTTATGGGCTTTGGAGACATCCAGGTGGCTGCTGATGTCCCCTCAGTGTCTCCCCTAAAATGTATTCCATGGCCTCCTGAGAAGTACACATCAGGGCAACTGAAAAGCTTAAAAGTCTCCTCCACAAACATTGGTAAAAAGCTTCAGCTCT